GATTTCTCTTCCACCTGGAGAGGGAATAGTAGAGGCATGAATGCTGATTACTGGGAGAGGTGAGAGACTTCTAGCAGCAAGCTACTTCTGATAGCTCCCGCTGAGAGGAGAATCTGTTGCAAAAGTGAATTTGTCTACTCAATGTGCCTCTCCTTCCCACTTCAGAAAGCAAATTAATTACAGATATAATGGCTATAGCATTGGGTTAATTCTTACTAATGTGTCCCTGAAGATGGATTTTCTTTCAGTGGCGAGCAGCCAAGTCTCCAGTGAAAATGTCTTTTCACAGAAACGATGCTAAGTGTTGCTCCTGGCTATCACAGCCCGAGCATATGATGCTTGCTGAAGATCATCTGCCTAAACATGACCTGATTTGCTGCTGTCCATAAAGCTGCACTTTTGTGAATTCATTAAACCAACAAATTTGAGGAAAACACCTCCTTCTGAAACTGAAAAAGAATATTCTTTCACTGTAACAATTCCCTCTGTCAAAGATCTTATTTTATTTTTTTATTTGTCTCTTTTTTTGGCTCTGATAGTCCAGATTGCTCTCACTGTTAATTGTAAAGATAGTTTAGTCTTCTCTCTTAAGGTGTTCTGAATTAAACGCACAGATTAGGTGAGAATACATTTCTTTTAGCTTTATCCCAGAAGACTGGAGCTGCTTTCAGTTGGAGTGAGAGCCTCTGCAGGTAGACACGGGGAGATGGCATCCTCTAGTGGTAGGGAGAGGTGAGGCTGAGTAGCAGTTTGTCTTGGCTTTAGTCACTGATTTGGGAGGAGTTAGCTTCTGCCCAACCTTTACAGAAGACAGCTTTGATAATCTGTGTGGAAGCTGTTGGTGCTCTGTAATGTCATGTGGTGCTTGAGTGAAAGGCACTGAACAAACACAAGGCTGAGCCTGCTGGGATATCCTGAAAGGATTCCCAAGGCAGTCACAACCTCAGCAGCTCTGCAGATCAATGTAACTATGTTCCTCTCATGTGATGTTAAAGTTCTCTTCCTCAGAACACAATGAATGCACTGAGCTTATCCAAATATCCTCAAATAGCTGAATTTCTCTTCCAAAAAATCCCACATTCCTGGAAAGGGCATGTTGTCCTGGGAGGCTTGTGTGTGAGGGCTTGTCCAGGAGGCTGTGAGTGCAGCTCCTTTGCAGCCAGCAAAGATGAGAACCTCTGAAACACTGCGTGGCTGGTGCAGCATTGGACTCCTGGAGCTGTTGCAGGGTAGTAATGCTCTGATATTTTTCCAGCTTGCAATCAGAAGAGCAACTTTGAAGAAGTCCTTTACCCCAGTGCTTGTGGGAAGCGCTTTAAAGAACAAAGGAGTGCAGCCGTTGCTGGATGCTGTCCTGGAATACCTCCCAAACCCTTCAGAGGTGGAGAACTATGCTATTCTTAACCAGGGGTAAGTGCTTTGGTCTTGGAATTGTGTGCTGTGCAATGGGAAACTCAATAACATGTGGTCATTTACCGTTTGCATAATGCAATTTTAATTTTGTACTTCATTCTAATGCTAAGAAGGCTCACTTCTCCTTTGAGGCTAGCTGTTTATATTCATAATAGACTTCTGATAAGTGCTAGTGGTAAATATCATAGTTCAGATCTCCTTTTTGGGATCTGCTGCAGTTTTCCTGAGATGTTAGCACATGACAGTTACATGCATGAGCATCCTCTAAGTGTCTGTTAAAACCTGTGAAACCGAGGGCCCTCAGCACTTCCCAAGGCAACTCACAATTTAAGGAAACTGATGTGTTTTCTTTGTAACATGAACTCACTGTCTATCCCTGCATGTGTTTGTTTTAAAGAGATTCTGAGGACAAAGCTAAGTTCCTGTTGAACTCTGCTCGAGACACCTCGCAGCCTTTTGTGGGCCTTGCTTTTAAGCTGGAGGTAAGCTGTTTAATGTTTAATGCAGCAAAAACAGTAAAGAAGCAGAGTGTTTCCTCTGAGAATTGTTGGGGGTAGTTCCGATTTTCATTTGGAAAGTGGCTGCCCAAATTGGAGTTAATATATGCCTCTGTCGTGAAGGCTTAGGAGTAGTAAAATTGGTGAAGTAAGGAAAATTGCCAGTAAGTGTCAAGTTCATTTCCAGAGCCAGGTGAAAGCTGAGACTATGTTAAACAAAGCTTCGCATACATGTGTGGTGTATAAATTCAAAGCAATCATTTGCTCAGTCAGTTCAGATTATACGTCAAACAGGAACTGGCTTGACTCCAAGGAGGACTTTGTCTGATTTGTAATGACTTTTGATTTCAGGCTGGCCGTTTTGGGCAGTTAACTTATATTCGAGTTTATCAGGGGATGCTGAAGAAATCTGAATATATTTATAACACAAGGACTGGGAAGAGAGTGCGTGTGCAAAGACTTGTCCGTATGCATTCAGACAACATGGAGGTGAGTGAGAGGTGCAGCCCAGGCACACGGATTGCATTTTGAGTCACCCTGACTAAACTGGCTTCTCAGTTTTCAGGTATAATGTGATATATCATATTTGTGCTTTTGTTGTTGATATATATTCTCTGTAGCACTGAATAGAACTCTAAAGGAAGTGAAAATGATCTTCAGTGTATTATTTCCACTGAAGTGGAAGAGTCTTTGCCCAAGCAATATTTTAAAAATGCTTTGAGATAATAGCTAAAGCAAGCTGGCTGTGTATGGCCATGTCCTGTACTTGTGGGAGAGGGAAAACAGGATTGGCAAAACATACAATGATGTTTCCTTTCATGTGATTATTTTAATATTATTCTTAAACTGAAAATTGGTTCTCAAACTGCTGCAAGTTCCATCCTTTCCTGTTGAAAATTCCTTAATTCTATAGCTGAGCCAAGTCTGCCTGTAGAATGTTATATTGTTTGCTTTGCATCCTTTCCCTAGAGCTGAGTTACCCTTTTTGGGTGTTTGCCTTGAGGAAAAAGGAGCTTAATTTTAAACACAGTATTTGTATCTCTGCTTAAAACCAAATGTGGTTTGTAATACTCTGTCGTCTCTCAGCGTTCTCTAAATAGTACACTTTTCTTTCTTAAGGATGTAAATGAAGTTTATGCAGGAGACATATGTGCATTGTTTGGAATTGACTGTGCCAGTGGGGACACATTCACGGATAAAACCAGCACTGACATTTCCATGGTAAGTGTGCCTCCTCCTCCTCCTCTGTGTGCCTCATTTTGTTGTAGAAGTTTTTAATATTTTGTCCAGTTAAATGTTTTTTATGATGTATACACAAGTGCAGATAACTGCTGTGATACACCTCAGGTATCCTGGATGTGTAGAAGTATGTTGTATGTAAGAGATACTCATTCGTTTGCTACACTTGACATCAAATGCAGAAGTTTGGTGTTAGCAAACTGTTGGAAGCATTCCTGCATCATCTTCTGACTGTGGGCTACTGAATACTGAGAGGGTGTTGTTATCCCAGAACTACTGAACTATATATCTGTGAACATGTTTGCATAGATCACTTTTGTTTAGGAATACATTTACAAAACCTGGTGGGAAGCAGATTTTTCTACGTAGTATGAAACCCAGAGATCACCTTGTATCTAAGTTGGTATTGAAAATACTATGGTTGGCAATATGGTATATGTTACATAGCAGCCCTCTAGTAATCCTGGGGAGAATTACACAGTTCTGGTGCCCTGGCACTGTATGAAATACAGGTGTGATAAGAACAGCAGTCATCTGTTTGTGACCCAGAATTCTTGTGACTGATATTTTTTGGAGAAGTCAAAAGTACAGCAAAACTTGACTGTATGGTCTCTTCCTTTATGACCTGCAGGAATCAATACACGTCCCTGATCCTGTCATTTCAGTAGCGATGAAGCCTTCCAACAAGGTAGGAGCCTGTGGACCAACCTTTTTCTGACTGAATTACCTTTACTGCTGCCTTTATGGGCTGGTTTGCAGGGAAATGCAGTATCTATAGACTATATGAGTGTTGTTTTAAAGTATTCTATTGAAAGCACCTAAGAATATATCCATGTGTTATCTGAACAATGTGTTAGGTGGTACTAAGTAACTGTACATAAGATGTGTGATTTTGATCTGCATTTATCATGGACTTGAAGTGACTGGAGAAATAAATACAGCTGTAAATGTGTGACTGCTTCAGGAAGTAAGCTTGTGAGAGTAGAAATAGTAACTGACAGGAAAATGTGAGGCTTGATTGCCTTCTGGATGTTGAATTAATGTTTTCTTTGCCTGTGTAACTGATTTTTAGAATGACTTCGATAAATTTTCCAAAGGCTTGAGTCGCTTTACAAGGGAAGATCCCACTTTCAGAGTCCACTTTGATGAGGAGAGCAAAGAGACCATTGTTTCTGGAATGGGAGAACTGCACTTAGAAATCTATTCCCAGGTAATATGGAAAGCAGAATCTATAGACTCTGCTATTAACTATTTTGCCAACCAAGAATTCCTCCTTTCTGTCTGAAACATTGCATTGCTGTACAAAAATCTTATCTGCAGGGGGTCTAATTGATGGCAGTGTTTAGGCCTGGTTTTGTACCTGGGTGCCTCAGGCGTTACCAAGTTTACAGAATTCTTTGGAGGTGCACAACTTCATTTTTTATTTTAGTCTAATAAAGCAGATACGTTTGAAATGTTGAAAGAATGAAGAAAAGATGGCTTTTGTTTTGGGGAACTTTAATAAAATAATGAGATAGTTTTCTTTTCCTGTATCTGAAGCTACAGCCCCTATACAAGAATGACTGCGGGGTAACAGCACCTTATTTTTACCGTGGTTTTCTTGAAGGAGAGAAAACAAAAACACCAGAAAAACCCAATTCAGCCCAACCACAACCCAAAAAAATGGCTAACCGTGATCACGTTTCTCATTCCAAAAAGATCTATAATAAAGTTATTGCTAAAGTATAGCAACAACTCCATATTTCATTCCACTTTCTTTTCTGCAGCGAATGGAAAGAGAATATAGTTGCCCTTGCACCATGGGAAAGCCAAAAGTTGCCTTCAGAGAGAACATCTCCGCACCTGTGCAGTAAGTATTCCTTCTAGCAGCAGTTTTTTCTGATCTGTTTTGATGCAGAATTTGATTACATGGTAGAGGGAGTGCCTGGTTATCAGATTGAAGCACTGCATACTGGAAACAAAGTTTCTTTGAGTAATGACTCTTCCTACATCGATTGTATTCACCAAATCAACTTGTGCCCCTCCTGAAATGGTTATGGCAGCATCTGTGCTTCTTGCATTGCAATATTGGATGCTCCATTAGTGCAGTGTGTGTTTTGGCTGACGGCTGTTCTGTGTTATTTCAATGCCATGCTGCGGGTGCCAGAGAACTGTCATTTGCCATGGAATAATCTCCTGTGGGTAGGAAGTAAAACTGTAAGACATGAGAAGGTATTCTCTTCAAACAATTCTGAACTGCAGCTTCTTCCCTTTATGCCTGGTCAGTTTGGTGGTATTATCTCCCACGAGGTGAGAGCTGTAAGTGGGACCAGTATACCAAAGCTCTGCTGTACACAGGAAGTGCCTGAAAATCAGCTGAAAATTACTTTCATGGTACAAATTGGAGAGCTGTTGTCTCCTGCTTGCACAGGGACAGACGCAGATAATGCTGAGGCAGATGGGTGATCATTGCCCTCACCTCACCCCTTTCAGGTGCTGACCTCCAGGCACCAGATCTGTGAACACCCCCCCAGCTTTGTGTCCAAGTTCAAAGTTATACAGCTGGCAGTATAACAGTAGGAAAACCTTTGTTAGGAAGAGGATTTTTTTACCTGGGACACACTTTCATGAAGTAGAATCATGTAGTCAAATTCCAGGTATTCATCAGTTCTTTTCTGGAAAGAGAAGATGAAAAGGGCTGAATTTGGGACTTTACCCATCTTAAAAGTAGTAAATCAGTTCACTTTGGGCAGTGAAAGTCCTTTCTGAAGACTTCTGATGTATTGGGTTTTCTAAACAGGAGGTCCTCTTTCTCTGTTCTGGCTTACATACTCAATTTCCTTGAGTTTAAAGTGCCCTTTGCTTTAGGATTTACTCTTTATTCACGGTGTATTTTTTCCAAATAGAAGAACAGAGAAGAACTGAAAGAATCTATAGAATTCTATGAAATTAAAACTGAGTATTTTTTCCTGATAGTAAATTTTCTGGAAGCAAGTTGCCTGTTTCAGGTTAAAAGCCTTCAAGGCCTGTTGATGATGGCAGCTATTGACTGCTAATTTGAATATTGAGATTTGGTGGTCATTTATTTGTGAGCTTAGCTGCTCAGGGTAAACACAGTACTTCTAATCACTCAAAAATCAGTGAAAATAGAAAATAGTTTTTCCTGCAGTATTCTGTTCCCCAGCACTCTGGTCACATGTTTTCCTGAACTCGATTTCCTTACCATAAACTCATGAAGCTGATGTAAATCTAGAAACACTGCTGTAATTGACCAAACTTTAAAGATCAGATAGGAAGCTGACTCTGAAGTTCTGTAGAAATGAATAAATGAATCATTAAAAAAAAATATTAGAGAGCAATTTTGAGATACAAATATTTCAGCTGAAAATGCTAAAATATTTCTTTCTACCAGAATAAAAACCAGCATTACTAAGAGTAAGTTTAGGAAGAATGAAGTGAGAAAAGTTGATGTTAAGGTTGGAATTAAATCATTATTTTCTTTCTTGATTAGCATTTTGAGGTGAACTGCCAAACGGATGGAAACTGGAATACTGCAGACAAAAAGCAATGTAGATTGTATTTGATTGAAGTTGAGATGGCAGCCATTGCTATTTGTCTAGACTTGAGTATTGCGGAGATGTCAAGCAGTGTTATGGTGACTGATTGCCAGATCATGATGTAAATCAAGAGATGAAAGAGAATATTCCAATATGTGTTATGCAGGTGCAAGAATACTGTCAGCTCAGCCTACGTTATAAATGGAAGGCAGGAAAGCAATATAAAACTGTAATCAAAGGGATGACCCCTAAGTGGAAAAGTCAATTTTTCTAACTAAGCATCGAATACTGCTCTTGCAAAGAGACAGTTTCTATAAGCAGAATTTATGAGGAGAAGAAATGATCTAAATAAAAACCCAGGCCATCAGTGAAAGCATTCATGACTTGCTAGAGGAAAGGGGTGGGTGGTACAGAAACCTTAAGCACTGGCTTTAAAATGAACCATACTATGAAGTTCAGACACAGTTGAGATTTCTTGCTTAAGAACTTTGTCTCGGCTGTAGGTTGGTACATGCCACAATTGTTTAGCTCCTAAATGTTAGGAAGTCTTCCTTGCAGTGCATTGATGGTAACTCACCACTTGCTTCACATGTTTAATCTGGGCAAGTTGGTACTTAGTATTCTCAGTTGAGTTCTGCCATATCACATAGCCAGAGGCAGCCCAGGCAAGCGCTCTGATGGGCTGCATTTCTGGGGACACGTGGCCATAGCTGTCTGAGAAACAAAACAAGTACATGTTAAGTGAGATTCACTGAGTCACAGGCATTAATAGGATCTTACAGCGTAGTACATTGGGTCTGGTGCTAAAACTTGGGGGATCTGGCTGATGTTCCTGGCTGTGTCACAGGCCCTGTGTTATCATCTTGGAATAGCTGCTGTATGGCTCCTGTGTCTGTTTCCCCTCCCTCTTCTTCCCCTTAACACATGTTCTGTAAAGTCTTCGCTGGGGTATCTAATATACAACAGTAGGAACAGTCACAGGCAGCACAGCAGTGACAGAGTTAAAGAAGTGACGGAGGACAAATTGTGTATCGCTTCTGGATTTTAGAGCTGATGAATGATTTTGGCCATGTTGTGACTGACATATACTTAGCATAAGAGAAAGTGAAGGGGCATGTATTCAGAGCAGGGCCAGCAGCCTGATCTTCCTCTGTCCTGCCTCATATTCTGTGGTCTCCCGTAGGATCATGGACCTCTACCAATTCAGTTCAATTTTGCTTCTGGCCACGGAACGCATTCTCTCACTTCTTTCTTGCCCAGGTCCCTTCTTTGTACCTGGTATGTTCTCTGCCTCGAGCTCTTTTTTCAGGCTCTTGATTCGATCGTAGAATGCGTTATCTGCTTCGTCTGTGTTCTTAAGTTCTCCTTCAATTGTAAATTGCACATCTGGAGCATTCTTTTTGTTGCCCAGATGATAAAGAACCTCAGCAGTGCAGTTAACAGTACTGTCCTGTTACAGAGTTAATTAAATGTATTAATATTTGGTTAAATACATGTGTAATATTGGTAACTTACACCTCTACAATGTATTTTTTTCCCCTCAGTATGGCCCACAGAGATTTGTGATTATGTAAAACAAGGCTACATTCATAGCACCTCTGAATATACTTCAAAGGCATTTTTCCTTTCACAGAGATCTTAAACTCCGTGTGTGGGACACAGAGTGTTATTGTGTTCTTCAGTTGGAGTCATAGATTCATATAACTTCAACTCAAAATTGAATGATGTTGAAATCTCCTTATCATGTTACACATCAGTGGTGTCAACTTCTGCCCATTGAATGTGTTAACAAAATAAATCTGAACTCACTTTCTCAAATATGTCTTCTAACACGAATTCCAGGTGGTATTTGTGCCCGATGCCATCAATATCCTAAGCAGGGAGAACAATAAGAATGTTTATTTTGTAAAATGCTGAATTACTTGGCATCCTGGAAAAGATTCTCATTATTGTAAGATGGACTCCAGCAGCATCACTGCATCACATGTAGAGCTCAGCTTGTGTTTGGTTTCTTCCTGCTGAAAGATTGCTCATTTGCTGTGCACCTGGTGTAACACCAGTTAGTACCTCCTGGTCACTCTCTGGTCTGGCATACTGCTTAATTGTCATCTGTGGACTCCCAGGATCATAGAATCCTTAGAGTTGGAAGGGACCTCTGAAGGCCATCTGGCCCAGCTCCCCTGCACTGCTCAGGGACACCACAGCTCCATTAGTTTGCACAGGGCCTTATCCAGCCTCGCCTTGACAAGCTCCAACAACAGGGCATCCACCGCATCACCAGGCACCCTGTGCCAGTGCCTCAGCACCCTCACTGGGAAAGGCTTTTCCCTTATATCTAACCAAGTCTCTGCCCTCTTTCAACTTGAGGCCATTTCCCCTTGCTCTGTCCCCACACACCCTGCTGAAGAGTCTGTCTGATGCAGCGTGCAGGGACTCGCTTGGGCTCTGTCTCTTGGCTTCATTTTGTGCTTTTTTAAGAGTTGTTTTATGCCTTTTTGTTCCAGGATAGAATACCTACTGTAACAAAATAATCACGTTATCTTTGCTGCAAGCCACCTACTAACATGTTCATGGGCAAAGCAGGAGCGGTTGTGCGGTGCAGGGCCTCTGTGCTCCTCAGCAGCCTTTCCCCTTACCTGCAGGCAGCCCTTACCTCCCTGTGGGCACGGCGCACGTCCCGCAGCACCCAGCCGTGCCCAGGGCTCCCGTGGCGGTGGCTGATGCAGGCCGTGGCCAGGGCTGCTGCTCTGCTGGCAGGGCCGTGGGCTGGCGGCAGCTCCGCCATGGCGCAGGGAAGGCCGTGGGCTGGGTGCTGGCAGCAGGAAGCAGGTCGGCAGCTCCCGCCTGCTGGGGTTGGGTTGGGGAGGAGCAGAGCTTGCAGCCCTCCTCCTCCTCCTTTTCCTGAGGGAGTGAGCTGTACCAGAGTGCTCTGTGGGAGGGAACTGTTGGCGTGTGTGGAAGCAATGTCAGATCTTGCACAAGCAAGCAAGCCCGAAGGCAGTCGGGATGTAAGGGTTGCACCGATGGGGCTGTGGTTGTCCCTGTGCATTGCATGCAGTGGGACTGGTGGCCGTTAAGGGTCTCTTGCAACACAAACTGTTCTATGATTCTAGTGTTACTTACATATACAAGAGCGATGGTTTCCTGAGACCAAATCACTGCTGTCTTCAGGCTGCAGCTTGCAGCATAGACATCTGTGTTATTCCTTGAGCATCTGAGTGCTCTCAGCTCTTGTTTCGGTCATTGGTACAAAGTTAAGCCAAGTGAAATAAAATGCAGAATGGGAGCTTTTTCCTGTAGAATGCAGAGTGGGAGCTGTGGATAGAGCGTAGCTGGTGTAATGAATAACGTCGTGTGGGGTTTTGTCTGTTTGTTCTTAGTTTTGAATACACGCACAAGAAGCAGACTGGTGGAGCAGGGCAGTATGGCAAAGTTATAGGAGTCCTCGAGCCCCTGGATCCCGAGGACTACACAAAAATAGAATTTGAAGACAGAACCATTGGCACAAATATTCCAAAGCAATTTGTGCCCGCTGTTGAAAAGGTACAAAGCAATTTGTGTGTGATACAAGAAATACTGATTCTTGGTTTTTTTTTTCCTTGCTATTCTGTTACCATTTACTTCTGTCTTGCCCCAGGCAAGGAGATTTTTCCCATTACTTCAGAGGAAGCTGAATCAGATTTCCATGCTTTTGCTTAATATCTTACATTCCTAGCTTTTCCACTTAATTTAGAACTTGCTGTTTGTTTTCTTTGGTAGCGTGTGCTTGCTCTGTTTCCATAGCAGTGCCTCAGTAAAGAAAAGGCAGGCTTTCCTTTTGGACACTGAAACAAACCTCCTTCTGATGAGCTTGCTTTTTGATTTCCGTTTTCTGCTTTTAATTCTAGCGATGTAATTCTCATCCCTGATGATTACATATTTTTGTGATTTCTCTGAGACCAGATACATAGGAAACTGCAATTTCATTTGATGCATTTGTTATCTAATAGCTTGTCTGTTTTAGCACTTATGTTTGCTTCCTCTGTATAACTGTATGATTTCTCACTCACAACACTTAAGTAATATGTTTGTGCATCTATCTGAGCATGATCTTTGATTCCTTAATCAAATTTGATTTTTCCTGAATCTCGGAAAAAACACATGCTGTGAGAAGAAGTGTTCTGAGAAAAGGCTTTACTCTTCAATCAGATAGTTAAAGCATTCACTCAGTTTTTGATTGTACAGTCCCTTAACAAAGAAAATCCTGAGTACGTTCCTTTTTTTGCCTTCTGGTTTGTTGTGCGATTTCTCTTTTAAGGTGGTACTGAATTAAGGTACCAAAGAATGGCAGTAAAAAGTTTTCAAACATTTTGGAGTACAAAGTTTTCCCTACTCCGTTATGTTTTTTCCATCTTCTTAACAAGTAGGGAAGTCCATTGGCTTGTTATGGGATTGCTGCTGGAAATTGTGAAAGGGATTTTTTAGTAGTTGTGGGTGGATTTTGGTGTTTGGGTTTTTTTTTTAAAGCTTAATTTCAATTTGCAGTGTGCTGATTTTGAGGTGTTGTTCGGCAGGGATTCCGAGATGCATGTGAAAAAGGTCCAGTGTCAGGGCACAAGATATCTGGAGTCCGATTCGTCTTAGAAGATGGTGCACATCACATGGTGGACTCCAACGAATTCTCTTTCATCAGAGCAGGAGAAGGAGCCCTAAAGCAAGGTATAAAGCCAGGTAGTCTGAATGTGTGGTCCTACTGGCTTCTTCGTTGGTGGAGCAAAATATAGTGACCTCATTTCTTCAGGTTACCTGGTGAATCTGCACATACATTTGAATTTTGGCTGGTACCATAGCAAATAGTGTACGCTAGAAGGCAAGTTTGTCTTAGGGTTGTCAGAAGGAAATCCTTTTTCCTAGATCAGAGTAAAGAGACATCAACAGCTTCATCTTTCTGTAGGTAGCAACAAAATACAAGAACCATTTTGCCAAACTGTGTGCCTGCCAGCATTGCCATTTCTGAAAGAAAGGGTGGGGGAGCTGGAATTCCAAATAGTCAGTAGTGTTTTCCCTGTTTAAGAAGCATTCAGAATTAACTGTAGAACAGTTCTTTGCTATGCAAAGGGGTATCTTGAATGAAACCAGACTTGTTCCTTTATTTTTGTAGCTGTGTGTGAATGTAGCTGGGGGTTAATTTATGCAGTCTTGCAAAACACAGCTTCATGTTTCTGCTCCCTTTTGTTGTCATGGGAAACATGCTGTATAAGTTGTCACTCGGGGCCTCATCACTAAGGCAGCTTTGGGAGGCTTTTGCAAGGCCAAGTTAAGAATCATTTGATGTCCATGGTTTAGGTAGACTTAAATAAGAGTACATTTAATTAATTTCTTTCCTCCAGCTATGGAAAATGCTGCTGTGCGTCTGCTTGAGCCCATTATGGCTGTGGAGGTGATGGCACCCACTGAGTTCCAAGGAGCAGTGATAGCTGGAATTAATCGCCGTCATGGAGTCATCACGGGGCAAGATGGCACTGAAGGTTACTTCACTCTCTATGCAGAGGTGTGTGCCGTTCCCTGGTACCTCTCTCTTTTCTTTTGACTGCTGCTGTTTGTCTGGTTGGCTGCAGTTTTAAACGTTAGCCAAGTTATTCAGTGGACAAGCATGAATTTTCCATCTGCGGAAGTGTGTTGTGCAATATTAGTAAACCTGTTATAAATCTGTTCTTTGGAGAAGCCAACTTATTAACCTAGGACCATATGGTGGCAGAGGAAGGAACACGGTTTTGTTGAGACTGGCTGTGCTGCCTTAGAGTGAGATCTGTGCAGCAATACTGATGCACAGAGTTACGGGGGATCTTTCAACTCTTTTTATCGTAATTGAGATTGATTGAGTGATATCCAATAGTAGATGAAAAAATATTTTATAAGAATGATGTGCTTTGATTTTAGGTGCCACTGAATGATATGTTTGGTTA